CACGGGATCGCAAGGCACATTGTGCCCTGCGATCCCGTGCGGACGATCACATTGCGGGCGGAGGGCGTGGCTACGGCGCCATTCACTTCAATGGCCAGCTAGGCCCCCTCCGGCCCCACGAAATACTGAGCCGGCCGCAATGCGATGCAGTGCGTTCAGGCCAGAACGTGGCCGAAAACGCACTGCACTACAGTTAACAGTTGACAGCCCAACTCCACAAAAAAAAGGAACTGGAACGCGTCCAGAACGCGCTGCACGCATCGTACCGCGTCTGCAGATCTGCACCCACCTCACAATCTTCGGAGAGAAACTCTAACAAAAACTAGTGGAGTTGGTCTTTGAATTACCGCAACAGTATTTGCAATGATTATATAATATAAATTGTGTTCCTTGCTAATACAAATGATAGCATGCAATATTCATGGTTGTAAACTGCAGAGCGAAAAAACAAAACAACCAGCATTTGCATCGTGGGCGATCAGAAAAAAATCCTAGCAGTATCCAAAAGAAAGAACTATAACAATGAATTCCCTGAATCTTTAGAAAACATAGGCTAAGAGATGGTGAGGGGTAATATGGAGCAGGTAACATAGTCTCTTAAGAAAAGCATTCACGCTTTTTTAAATGTTTACCAACTCTGAAGGGAAAGAGAGTATGGAAACTGCAAATCTATTCAATTAAAAAAAATGAAAAGACCAATGCAATCCTACAAGTATCATCAAAGGAAACGCGTACAGAGGAAAATCAATAAGCTGTAATTGCCGATTTCTTCTACTGAAAATGCTATTCGTCTGGTTGCAATATTGATTCACTGGCTGAAGTAATTCTTGAGTCACTGACCCAGAACAAGTATGCAGATAAGTTATCCTGACATTATCCAGACATTACTACTGTCACAGACTGGGTCACAGATTCAATATATAGAAACAAGATAATCAAGCTGTTTTCAGTTCTGTGATTAAGACATGTTATATGGTTAGTAAACAAATGGTGACAATACAACTGTGCTATAAACCCCTTGTGTTGTAGCACAGAGTTGTGTCAAACCAAATTATATCGGCCTGGCTGTAAAACCTTTACTAGTTATAGTAAACCAATGGTACCAACTATTACAAAAAATAAGTGTCAACATTTAAATGTGCATTAATTCCAGACTGAGTGAGGCTTCATGGGAAATGTGGGCATATAAACAGGAAAAAAAAAAAGAATTAAACTGTGTTACAGTATCTTTGTAAATGCTCAGTTATCCTTCCTTCCTTTATCATATAAAAGTGAAGCCCCACTTCCCTTTTGCCACTAGAGATTCTGCCTTCAGTAGTGATATATCTTCCTCTCTTTCTTAACCTTCTGTGATCCTGTGATCCCTACCTGTTTCGCTTTATTGGGGAGCACTGACCTATGAAAAATAAGCTAATAGAATGTGAACAGAAATTTGTCCTGCCAAATTCCTCCCTGCCCTTCTCATCCCCAAGATCTCACAAGCACCGCAATCTCCAGGTCCCTCTGCTCCGGCAGCTCATGCCATCATTCCCCCCGAATATCTGCGGTGACAAGAAAAGGGGCTCATAATGTGCTTCCTTTACAGTATTTCCATAGATTTGCTGGCTGGATTTGGGTGAGAGCACTTTCCCAAACTGGCGCAGCGGCCGGCAAGCAGGGAACACCACCAGAGCAGTGTCCATCTCTGAGTCTGGCAGAAAGCCCTTAACACACATATTATGAATGGGGTGCCTAAATGCAACACATGTTAATGCGTGGCAATGAACATTAATGCACCACAACAGTGTGAATCCAGCCTCAGCAGAGAAGCATAAGAACCAGAAAATGCCATCTGTATTTTAAACAGGTACACACTGGCTATGTAATTCTTACAGGTTGCTAAATAACAACTGCATGCATGCTTTGAGATGAGACAGCATGTAGACAACAATATAACCAAATTCATTTCTAGGCATGCTCTAGTTTGGGATTTATGATTCTCTACATTTGTATTAGCTGTAGATTTAATGTAATATAATTCTTTCCACAACTCAACAGCACAGAAAAAAAACACAAAAACGAATTTATTTCCCTGCCTTCTAATGCCAATGTATGATTTGGCCTTAGGACCACAACAAAATACTATATTACTGTTCATGCACATTTTATAAAAAAGGGTGGGACAAGCGAACTGTATAACAGGAAGTGATTAAAAATAATCTTGAGCCAGCTAGTAAGGAGAAAAAAAATTGCATAAATAAATTCTGTTTACAGGTCTGCTGGGATGTTTTAAGGCCATTCAGTAACCCGCCATCACTGCCAGCACCAGTTTAGCAGAGTTTCATGAGAAATGAAATGACTAACTATAAAGCATGAGCTGGTGGGTTTGTTTAAAGGGTAAATCTTGTAGTCATGACAACACTATCAATTCCTAAACCTGTAAACAGTTATCAGCCAGACATATTGTAACAATCTTAAAGATACAGCACTATCATTAGACAGTGTTACTAAAAGAGAGACAAGAAAAGGTCCAACAAACCTGAATTCCTCCTGAAAATAGCAGTGAATGTGAGGGTGCCCAGGCATTGTTGTGCCTAAAGCCTCATAGCTGTACATCTGCTGTGTGCTGCCTCTGACTGATAGTCTTAAGGTGCCCATACACCTGCTGATTATCGTGCGATAATCGTGGGAAATCCCGCGATCGTAAATAATTGGCAGGTGTATGGAAGGCGTGCAACCCTTTCTACTATACGGTCGCACGTCTTTTGTCTCCCGACCAGGCTCGAAAATCCGCCTAGAATCGTACGATTGTCAGAGGGTTAGTGGCGTTCTCGGAAGACAAATGCCGGCATTGGAGTAATCGGAAGCCCGTCCCTCAGCGGGGAGGGCTTTCGATGATCGCAAGTATGATCCGTCTGTCGAAGATGGGCAGATCATACGAGCAGTTAATTACTTTACAACCATCGCACGACTCGAGTCGTGCAATGGTTGTAAAGTGTATGGCCAGCTTTAGGCTATTTGGAGTTGAGTGAGATCACTGATTTAGTCAAGTACTTGACTAACACGCCTCTCCCCTGCACCTCCCTCCTTCCTTGTCCAGGCAAGGAGATAGACAGCTGCTCCATACTGCTCTCTCCCTTGCAATCTTATACTTGACAGGAAGTTCAGGCGAGCAGAGCATGGCAAGGTGGAGCCAGCTGTTTGGAAACATGGTGACTAAGTGTTTGGGCACAAATGTAAAGAAATCATTTGCTGGGCAATATATATTTATTTGATCTGGATTCATTATTGAAAACAAGTTTGAGGGTCTGATACTACTTTAATAAGACTCACATTAAGAGGGCCAGTGACTCCTGCAACATCATATTGGGCTTAATCTTTCAGTGATCTGAACTCTGCACTGTACCAAGACCAAATAGACTTTACCTAGACTGCCATTATAACCCACCATCTGAAAATGCTACTTGCCTTGCAGTAACGCTGACCTACTGGCTTTCATATGCTCTGAACTAATGACCCAGGACTGGTAAGCAGAAAGGAAAGTTAAGGTGGCCATACACTGTACAACCATCGCAAGACCTTAGTCTTGCGATGGTTGTAAAGTGATTAAAAAAAACGTACGATCTGCCCATCTTGGACAGGCAGATCGCACTCTCGATCATCGCAAGCCCGCCCCCCTGAGGGGCGGGCTTTCCGATGACCGCAATGCTGAAGGGCAGTGGGCGCGTGCGCACACCGGCCCGTTCGGCATTTGTCTCCCGAAAATCGTACGATTCTCGGCTGGTTTTCTAACATGCTCCTTAGACAAAAGACGTGCGACCGCGATTCTCGTACGAGAATCGAGCAGTGTATGGGCACCTTTAGAGAAGTGTCCTTATCTGTTTACTAGATTCAGGTGAGTGACTCAAAGTACTCAATCGTGAGAATTAGCATAGCAGCAATTTCAGCCTCTTGACAGGTTACTCACCTTCAAGTAGAAACCTTTATTTGCCACAAGAATTCTTCTTAGCTGCCTAATGACTCTAATTACTAATAACAGCCATACAATATCACTCTGTTTTCTGTGTCTTTCTACACATCTCTTCTCTAGATACAAAATTAAAAATGGCTTTCTAAAAGTAGTGTTACAAAGTACAACATGCATACGTAATGCTTTACAGCAACCTTTTAAAGATATCAATTACAATAGCAACAAAAGATAGTAAATAGTTTACTGGAAAAACAGAACAAAAAAGTTTTAATAAGTTTTCAGTTAATGGCACAGAAATATGACTATATCAAGCAATTTATAGGGTAGACCTAAACCGCTAAAAGGAAGTAAAAGATTTACACTATATGGCGTACTGTTTAATTTAATCCTTAGAAGTGAGGGGATAAGACTGAATCTGATTATATTTTGATCCTCATCTTCCTTGTTCACCAAGTATGAAGCTCTTTAATGGTGAATGGATTAAAGGTTTTATTAATTGGTTGGTGTCTACTGACAGACAATATGCTGGCCTGCCTTTTCAAGGGCATTTAAATATACGCATGATATACAAAAAAACAGGATTTTTGTACTTATTGTAAAATGTGTTTCTTGAAGTTTATTAAGGGACACAATCAGTAGGTATTCTGATATCAATAGGTTATACTGCCAATTACAGAACTACACAACTACAGAAGGATTTGAACACTGGCAAAAAAAAATAACAAAAACTGTTAGCCAGCCAGGTATAACCCCTCCCACTCCCAGCATGCTTTCCAAAAGCAGTACTTTGAAATAAATCACAAAAACAGAGGGGTGGGACCTGTGTCCCCTATTCAATTAAAAAAACAAAACAAAGCGTCAACAGGCTCACATAACTGGGGGTAGCCTGCAGCTCAAAGAGATGAGCTTATAATGCAATACACCGTGCTATCTCCCCTAATGAGAATAAGAAATACCCATATGTGAAACGGAATATCTGAAAACTCAAAACTCAACCAAGGGAATGCTGATCCTGCCTGCGGAATAATTACTTCAAATGTACTGATACAAAATATCAGGATGGATGGCAACTTCCACATATAAACAAGTAAAATTCAATAATGTGTATCAAAAAACATTATATGCATGAAAAACAGTATTTGTAAAAAACGTGTAGTATTATATGTCCTCACAATCCATATTGTGCATAAATATAAGCCCAAACTATAAAAAAGCTGGCTGTTTTTTTGTTTGCCAGTGTCCAAATCCTCCAAAGGCAGCAGTATAACCCAATAATTTCAGATTCTACTGATCCAGTGTTCCTTAAAAGAGAACTATGGGGAAACATTTTTATCCCATAGTTCTCTTTAGGGTCAGGGGAAGACATATACTAATTTCCTCCCGTGACCCAAAGCTCAGTATATAACGAACTATTGCTATATACTGTTGAGATCCACCCAGCTGGCTGATTGACAGCAGGCTCTGCCTATCTAGAGGCAGAGCTAGCTGTGCCCTCCCCCGTTCGTAGCTCCGGTCAGCACTCTTTGCAGGGAGATGATCGGGAAGTGAGCGAGCGACGGTATGTGTACGCTCACTTTGCGATCAATAGAGCCGACGTGTGACATTTCAATGTCACATGTCGGCTCTAACTATGAGGATGACAGTAAATCACTCACCTCATAGTTATACTTTAATGATCTTGAAGAAATGTACAAAAAACCTGTTTTACTACATGATCATTAAAGAAAAAAAAAAAACTTTCAACACAACAGATCTTAGCCTGCTGGTAGATCAATAAAAAAAAGTTACATATATTTTATTATCAAGTTACTACTTACGCTGTCACTAGTCTTGACATAAACAGGTCTGCTAATCAGTAACACCACACTGCTACTGCCTGGCTTATCATTACAGCTTCCTGCATCTGCATCATTTTACCATTTCATGAGTCAGACCCCTGCTTACTCAAAGCCATTTGCCTGACTTCCATGTTGATCCAATGGTTTCAATCATTTTCTCATCATTAGCTCAGGCATATCCATTAGGATCTGATTTCACTCTGACCTGCTGCATACATGCACATGGATGGTGACAACGTTTTAAAACCCGACACAGCTAAGCAACAAGTATTTTCTAGTGGAGATCAGAAATGCCAGGCTACATATAGAGGCTACATATACCTCTATGTTTTAAGTACACATGTGCTTAAAATATTTAGACTAGTCACAAAAATGGTAAGGCACCAGAGTTTGTACAAGTAAATTCACCAAAACCATCTCTCCAAATTATCTAAATACTTTTTTTTATGTTTGAAGCAACAAGTACAAGCAGAACTGGGTTTTTTTTTCATATTTTCAACTCTCCTTCTGCTTATAGACCACTTTATGTGCAGACTGCAACACACGCTGTTTCTAATATGTATTATATGCTAATCATTCCCCTACTTGCTTATGATGCATGTTTTCATCCAAGTGTACTGTGAAAAGTTTTAAATGAAATAGTTGAAGAGTACTCTCTACTAAAGCTAATCCTCCAGCATACTCTGAAGTTCTAATACCTAGTATCTGTATATACACAAGTCATAGAGAGGTCTGAACTGTTAATCTGTCAAAAGACTCTTAAAAAGAGAGAGAAAAAAAGAAAAAGGATTTTGCAGGCATTGCATTGATATACCCATGCTTAATATCGATTATGGAATACATACCTTTGCGATTTCATCAATAAAGCAAACATGGGACACAGGGTCTCTCTTCTTCGTCAAAACTTTCTGAAGATGTTGCACCTGTGAAATATATTTATAGGTTAAAGATAAACTTTATCCTACCTAGGTAAAACTTAACTCACAGTCTCTATAATTTGTCATACTTCCTAGTCCTTGGAGTCCAGCGTTGTCTTCCTGCAGCCGAAGTTAACTATGCGCTGCCATCTTGAAACCCCTCTTCAGGTTGGCTTCCTGATATTCACGTGTATGCTTGCTGTGGGATCCTGTGCACTTACAGACATACCGCAGATCTCTGCTATGTATTTGGGACCTGGCACAAACCTTCAGCATGTCTGCGTGCCGACATGCCGCAGGACTGGCAGATACATACGTGAGATTACGCATGTGCACAGACATGCCAAAGGTCTCTGCCAGGTCCCAAATACCTGGCAGGGACTTGTGGCATGCCAGCAAACACACCAGGATTTATGGTTGGAGGAAGGAATCAGGGAGTGTAGGGCCACACCATTATATTAATATATAAAATAAATGCACTTGAAAACCCTAAAAAGTGTTCCTTATGAACCCAGGTTCTGTAAATAAATGATAGCTTCAAAAGTAACTAGGCACATTGAGGGGAATTTATCAAAACTGGAGCTGGCAGAATCTGGAGCAGATGCCCAAGGCAACCGCTCCACATTCTCTCTGCTCCAGTTTTGATAACTTCCCCTCAAATATTCTTAGAAATGTGCACTAACCATCTCTATACCAAAAATGATTGAACATCCTAACCAATACAATTCAAACAAGTCAAAACATAACTTCCACCCCATGTAAAAGCGAGCACTTAATGGGAGCTCAAATAGATGATATCCTTCCAATCTTGTAGTGTGTGCATATATGGGATTTTTGATTTTCTATCCTGCTCCAGCAAAGTAACAAAAAGGAATTTAATCAGTTGTTATAGACAACTGGAGCAGACAAAATCTGGAGCAGACAAAATCTTGAGCAGCTGTGCATGGTAACCAATCAGCTTCTCTCTTCAGTGTGTTCAGTAAGGGCCTGTTCACATGATATCAGGTCCTGATCAGGTGCGGATCTGCAGACTGATGCAGTGCGCTTTTGCCACGTTTTTGATGCGTTCAAGTAAAAAAAAAAAATTGTTTGCTGGAGTGGGGCTGTTAGTATGTTAGCTGCAGTGCAGTGCGTTTTGTATGCGTTTTTGCCGCGTGTTGGACGCGTTTGCGTTTCCTGACCTGACAAAATGTGACATGCAGTATTTTTTCTGTCGTAAGCTGAACGGACTGCGCACGTGAGAACTGGAGCCCATTAAACACATTGGGATGCATTTTGAGTGCAGCAGTGTACGGAGCCGGTCAGCACACAAAATGGACGTCGTGTGAACAGGCCCTTAAGATTTGAAAATGAAAGCTGATTGGTTGCCATGCACAGCTGCTCCAGATATTTTCTGCCCCAGTTTTGATAAATTGATAATGATGTGTACAATTCACATTTCCTCCAGTTTTTGTACATCAACCCCAGCATTACCTGGACACAGGCTGCATAGATTTGGTCCATTAATTTCTCCAAATTCGTCCAAAGTGCAGCTCGAAATGCTGCTGTGTTTCCTGGTTGTGGCATAGCTGCACGACCTGGAGCACCTATAAACAAAATGGCTATATTTAGTATTCTAGCCAGAAAACTTGTTGCAAATATTTTGGAAATGGGGGTAAGGTTACACAATAAACAACAAGCTGTAAAACATCAAACGGAAAATCAGATGCCCTTTTATTTAGTGTTTCTTTTATGAGGGTGGGGGGTCATAATTTTAACATTTGAACAAAAAGAAAAAGTCCCTACATTTAGGGTCAACAGTATGCTTGTTGATAAACAGGGAGACCTTACAATAAGCTCATGCTACTTATACAGGTGTAAAAACGTTATACAGGTTCTACCTATATGGTCATTAAAATATAAGCATGTGTTATTGGTATGAGAATATTAACTGCTTTTAAAGAAACCTGTACTGGGAGAAATATGCAGCCAGTAAGCCTGTGAAGGTTCTCATTCCTCCAAGTCATGGTATAACTGTAAAAAATAATTCAAGGCAACTGGACTTGCTGTATTTTTCTTGAAGATGTTTCAAGTTGGTCATCCAACCAGTTTCTCAATTCAGAATGACTTGTACAAAAAATTATCTGGGAATAAATATGGTGAATGTCACTCCAATCTACATAATCTGTTAGTCACAACCAGTTGTTGATTGCATTTGCATAACTGGAGTCTAAGAGGTGTTATTAACCTGCCCAGAGAGAGGTGTTAAAACAGTAATTGCTGACCACCTAAAAATGTCAGTAACCCGGTAGATAAATCACTTCAGAATTTCTTCCACCGTTAATGGGACCTATAATCTGTACAATTCAATAAAAAACAAACTGAAACTTGTTGAAAATTAGTTCAGTGGGCAAAAAATAAAATAAATATTGTGGCTGCATAAGTGAACACACACTCCTATAAATCAGGGATGTGGCCGTATTTAGTATTAACAAATCACATTCAAACTGATGGTAAATAGTAGTCGGTACACAACTGGCATCAATTAAAATGACTCTGATTAAGCCCATATAAAGTTCAGCTGTTCGAGTCGGATTTTTCTGACATTAAAGGTGCTCATACACTGCACAATTCTCGTACGAGAATCGCAGGAAATCCCGCGATCGTACGAGAGTCGTGCAGTGTATGGAAGGCGTGTGACCGTTTCTACTGTACAGTCGCACGTCTTCCGTCGAACAAGCAGGCTGGAAAATCCGCCTGGAATCGTAAGATTCTCGGCGAGTGAGTGGCCTGCTTGTTCGACAACTGCCGAACAGGCTGGTGTGCGCACGCGCATACTGCCCGTTTGCAGTAATCGGAAGCCCGCCCCTCATTGCAGTCATCGCAAAGCCCGTCCCTCAGGGGGGCGGGCTTGCGATGATCGCAAGTACGATCTGCCTGTCCAAGATGGTCAGATCGTACGTTTTTTTAAGTACTTTACAACCCTCGCAAGACAAAAGTCTTGCGGGGGTTGTAAAGTGTATGGGCACCTTTACTCAGTTGCCTCTTACAGTAAAAGCCATAGTCCACAAATAGCTTTCAAAGCATCAAAAGGGCCTCAATGTAGGAAGGTATCAGTCAGGAGAAGGCTACAAAAAATGTTTCCAAGGCATTAGATATACCATGGAACACAGTCATGGTCATCACCAAGTGGAGAAAATATGGCACAGCAGTGACATTACCAAGAACTGGACGTTCCTCCAAAATTGATGAAAAAACAAGAAGAAAGCTGGTTTGGGAAGCTACCAAGCGGCCAACAGCAACATTAAAGGCACTGCAGGAATGTCTGGCAAGTACTGGTTGTGTACTACATGCGACAACAATCTCCCATATTCTTCATATGTCTGGGTTGTGGGGTAGGGTGGCAAGACGGAAGCCTTTCCTTACTAAGGAAACCATTCAAGCCCGGCTACATTTTGCAAAAATCTACATCAAGTCTGACACGTGGGGAAATGTGTGATGGTCTGATGAGACCAAGACCTTTCTGGCCATAATTCCAAAAAGTAGGTTTGGTGCAAAAACAACACTGCGCATCACCAAATGAAAACCATACCCACAGTGAAGCAATGCAGTGGCAGCATTATGCTTTGGGACTGTTTTTCTTCAGCTTGAACATGCACTTCCACAGCAAACAACAACAAGCATGTTCTAGATTTATTTTCCATACTTTACTACTGCTCTGAGCTAGGCAAGATTTGAACATGCTGCACAGAACAAAAAATTAAAAATAATGTATTGAGAGGGTGCATTTGGGCATTCAACATTTTAAAAAAATATATATAAATGATATATTATTATTAATTTGGCAGCAACCACAGTCACAAGATTATATTGGTTACACTGCTGTAAAAATAATAATACATCTGTAATAATAATTTCATATTTTTAAGAATTTTAATTTAATGACTAATGGCATGTTCTGTTCATCATGGACTAAACATATTAATGGAATGTACAGCAGAAAACTTCAAATGAGGGGCATATTTATAAACATTTTCCATTTAAGAAATGCTTTATATATCGTAGTGTGCAGTCAGCAATGTGGCAGCTAAAAGTGCCCTGCAAAATTTGAACAGTAGCTGCTTTTCAGTATCTTTTATGAGGCCAGTGAATGTGTTGTGTGGAGTTTTCACACATTGATGAAGTGTTATTTTTCAAAACAACTTCAAAATGGAAGACAGTTTTATTTTTCCTAATGGAGGAGTATAAGCTTCCACTCCTAACCCCTGCTTTTTATTGGGTGTCTATGTCACTCTTCATGAGTTCTCAGGCCATATGTATTATAACAAATGTGGTGAATGATATAACTATTGCAGAGTTTTATCCACTTTTGTATAACTCAGACCTGATTGCAGTGACGTTATGGAGGAGGAGGAGAAGCCACATAGGAATACTGCATATTTACATTTTTCTACACCTCAGAATGCAATAACAGTAAGTGTTTTCACAGAAGATTGTTATTCTTCCAAAAGTGCTTTTGGATTTTGTTATGGGACAATGTAAATATAAATAAGTCTTATTTAAAGGATTGGTTTTTACATACATATACAGTACTTATTCTGAAGTATAGTAATAACAATGATGATCATAATTCTAAATAAACAATGTTGTGTTGGTATACTTGACATAATGCAGCTGATTCCAATACACTCTAATGCCTTGGTTCTCAACTGGTGGGTCGTGACGTGTTCAGTGGGTCACTAGATGCCTTCTACTTTTCTAGGCGAGGTTCCTCAGCCTACCATGCATTCTGGAGCGGGAGTTGTGCTGCCATTCATTTGAATGGCACCCCAAACGCACCTTCCACCCACAGTTTGATTGCCCGCTCCGGAAACACCCTGTACCGTAGTGCAGTGCAACTTGGGTCACAACTTAATGACCAAGGGCAAATTTGGGTTCTGAGGTTACACAGGTTCAGAACCACTGCTCTAATGTAAGCTGGTAGTAAGCTTATGGCTGCACTACTGCCGATACTGACTATGTCACAGAATACACAGAACTCTTTTTTTAGTAACCAGTTACTTAGGGCTGCAACAACTAATCGACATAATCGATTATAATCGATTATTGAAAAAGTTGTCAACTTTTTCAATAATCGATTACTTTTTATGTTTGAGTTAAGGCAGGTCAAACCACACTTACAGGAGTCATGTGATCAGCTGAAAGTGATGAATTTAGGGCTTCAGCCAACTTATCAATGATAATAATTGATCATGAGAATTGTTGTCAACAACTATTGCAGTTTAATATAGCCAATAGAAGGCTGGCTATTGCACCCCACTGCCTGCTGTGTTTACATTCAGCTGTGGGCTACGGAATCTTGCCACCAGCAGCTGTCATTGCCCGGCTGAAGCTATTCAAGCGCGATGGATCTAATAGACCCCTAATGTCACATTAAAGAGAACCTGTCTCTTTAAGGTTATAACAAACCTTAAGTTTTATTTCTTTAGAAAACCACCAAGCTTCTTCTTACTGCTGAAAAACCCCTCAGAGGTGGTTTATTACAGTTGTCTATATCAGCAAGCAGGCCATTGCGTTCCAGTGCAGAAGCATTGCATGCCTACCTGGGCATGTGTACCAGAGGTTGCCGACCCCAAGCTTAAATAAAAGGCACATAGCTATTGTAAGTTAGTATTGTAATAACAGCTGTTGAGACTCAGAACTGTACAACAGCATATAAGTAAGTTATTTTAAAAGAATTACATGAATAGATGGCCATAGTTCTCTTTAGGGTCAAAGAGGACATATACTAATGTCCTCCGGTGACCCAAAACTCAGCATATAGCCGTCTGGCAGACTATATAGTTGATCTGTCTGTGTCACTACCTGCAGCTCTAGCCCTCAGCTGTGGGTTAATTAATCTGGCCCCGATGTGTTTCAGCTTGTGTGCAGGCTGCAGATTTACCTCTCTGCTGTGCAGTCTGCTTCTGCCTCACGCCCTCAGCTGGGATTGGCCCGTGTACTTGGAGGCGTCCTATTTAAACATCATCAGCTTGTACCTCAGCGCTTGTGATAGCCTCTCCTGGTTGAACAAGTGCGCTCTTTTGTTTTGTTTCTGGAATTGACCTCGGCTACGTTTCTCGGATTCTCGATTGTCTGCTTCCTGTCCTGACCTCTTGCTACGTTGAATGGATACTCCTTGTTTGCTACCCGCCTTGTCCTCGCGCTACGTTTACCGAATACTCCATGTCCGCTGCTGGCCCTGGCCGTTCGCTTTGTTCTTGGATTCCACTTTAGCTCTCACCTTCCACTGCCCTATGCTACGTTTACTCTGCGGGTCTGTAGTGACATCCACGGCAAGAGTATATAGTCCAAGTCCTGGGGGCATCTGAGTACCGGCAGGCACACTAGCCTTAAGGGAAAGGCGGCTGCTATAGGTGAAAACAACATCACTATATACTCGGACCTGGGTGTTTGCTTATGTGACCTTAGAATAGAAAGCTATTTCCCGCTATATGCTGAGAGCGCAGAGGTGCCCCGCAGCTGGGATGGATCCAGACAATACGGTCGATATCCACCCTGCTGGCTCTGCCACTCTAAAGGCAGAGCCGGCTGTGCCCGCGCTGGAGGATTGGAGAGGGGGGCATTCCTGTGGGGAGCCGTGACTGACAGTCACCGCTCTCTGCACGGAGAGGACCAGGAAGACAGCAATCAGCGGTATGTGCTCCCGGACTTCCCGATCAGTAGAGCCAACCTGTGACGGCTTCATTGTCACAGGACGGCTTGAGTTATGGGGATGCATGTTTTTCACTTGCCTCATAATTCTCCTTCAATTTAAAAGAACATCAAACTCAAACCAAAGTGAACAGCAGATTGATTTCAGGAAAAATGGCTTGTGTTTGATGTGTACAGAGAAACAAAAGCAGCATAATGTGATGTGCAAACAAAGCAACAATACATTCAAGTGCACAATGCTCTATCCAATACAATGCAAAATCTAAACTTTACATTCCAGATCATTCCAAAATGCTACACAAATGCATGCCTGCTCCTACCTATGCTGAGATACTCCCTCTGCCATTTAATCTTAAGTGGCTCAGTGGGCAGTTGAGGCTCTGCACTGCCCCTAACTTTAACAAGTGCAACCCTCTGCTATTCTGCTTTGGATGACAGAATTTCCATGGACAGTAGAAGCTCTGGCATTTGATAGCTGAATGATAGAGAACGCTCATCACTGAGAGGGGAATGGTTAAACCTAAACCTACATCAAGGCACCATAAATAGCCTGGGCCTAGAATCCAAAACACTCTGCAGAAGTCGATCAGAAGACATGTTAGGCCAGGTCATGTTAACTATTTTTTTTAAAGACATGTCATGTCTATAACGAATATTGTTAAAGGGCCATTACTGTAGAAAAACAAATTATAACTGCATGTGGTTCATGCATATAATAATGTTATTTCAGTATATTCATTTATTTAATATTGGCTGAAAGTTGCGTGAACCTTGTGTGAAGAATGACAGTATGCTTATTTTTGTTTATTTCTAGGGCTGTGCAAATTAACGATTAATTTCTTGATTAATCGTTAATCTTTTTGATCGATTAAAAATGTTTTTGAAGCTTTCTGCATGAGCGCCAGCCAAGGCATTGGCCTATACACATACAGCACAGCAATGAAGTAATAAAATGAACTAGGATCACACTAATCCAGCACGTTATTATTCTGAGTTGCCCCACTCAAGCGGCGACCATATTGAGTGGGGCACGTGAGAATAATAACGTGCTTGATTAGTGTGATCCTAGTTCATTTTATTACTTCATTGCTGTGCTGTATGTGTATAGGCCAATGTAGTTGGATCTGTATGTGCGTTATAATTAATCAAAATTAATCGATCTAAAAAAATTTCGATTAATCGAACACGAAAATTTTAATCATTACCAGCCCTACTGTTTTTACTTCGGCTAGGTTCACACCTAGGCGACTCCTGACCTCAATTCGTACGGTTTTCTGCACAATTGCGACACGGTTGGGAGTCGCCAATGTGTGAACCGATCGCGCTGTGGGTGCCATTATTTTATAATGGCACCCCAGTCGCGCCAGGAGGATCGCGCAGTTTCCCACCGCGATTCCGCAGCTAAAAAAGCAGCGAGTCATGTGTCGCAAAAAAAGGTACCTGTACCTTTTTTTAGCGATTGCCGTGCAGATGTCACCCCATTGAAATCAATGGAGCCGTGCGGCAATCGCTGTGTGAACTAGCACACGGGGCCGCGCGTCCCAGGTGTCGTGCAATGTGTCTACTTGTTAGCCTTAGGCTGACAAGTAGACACATTGCTACATTTTCTTAGAGTATTTTTTTAATACTATAATTTAGGGCTGTGGAAATTAAAGATTCATTTCTCGATTAATCGTTAAACTTTTTGATCAATTAAAATTATTTTGATCGCTAATGAAAACACTCACCTCTCCGCCGGCTTCCGAAAGTCCCGTCGGCCATCCGGTGACCTCACGGACATCGACGTCACCGGACTCCTCCCCCCCTTCCCCAAGTGGCTCCGTCGGCTAACGAAGGGATGGGGGGAGGAGTCCGGTGACGTCGATGTCCGTGACGGCTAAGGGAAGGGGGAGGAGTGCGGTGACGTCGATGGAGCCACTTGGGCCGGTGAGTTTTGCCAAGAAACTTACTGCACGAGCGCCAGCCAAAGCATTGGCCTATACACATACAGCACAGCAATTAATAAAATGAACTAGGATCACACTAATCCAGCACGTTATTATTCTGAGTTACCCCACTCAAGCGGCGGCCATATTGAGTGGGGCACGTGAGATTAATAACTGTGCCCACTCAAGCGGCGGCCATATTGAGTGGGGCACGTGAGATTAATTATTGTGATTCTAGTTCATTTTATTACTTCATTGCTATGCTGTATGTGTATAGGCCAATGTAGTTGGATCTGTATGTGCGTTATAATTAATAGAAATTAATCGATTAATCGATTTTAAAAAATTTTGATTAATCGAACATGAAAATTTTAATCATTACCAGCCCTATTTATTTCACATGACTTTCTTTATAGTTCTGTCCTATTATACATGGAGACAACACTTTCCAGCAAATGTGAACAAACTATAACACTGCTAGAGGCCCTTCAGTATCTCCAACATGTATTGTTTTCCAATATTTATTTAATATGTGTTTTTTAACCCTTTTAAATACAAGGTAATTGTCAAACGAACTGCTGGCAGTTTTATAGTTTGTCCGAATCCCTGTCATTGTCCCCTTTACTAGACAGCTTGACCTGCATGTAAATATAGAATAAACATAAATAAAGGCATGTAAAATTACAAAACAGGAATGCATATACATGAACTACTACAGATAGATATACAGATTTTTTATTTTGTAACTACTTTTTCTAGATTGCAAGGCGCAGGTACATTTATGTAGAACATAAGAAAATTACATTTTTATTATGCAGATCTTTGAAAAGTTCTATCCCCAGATGTTGCGATGAGACATAAAAAGGAAACATAAAAAGGACGAGATAAAAAGGAAAATGATACAGCATAAAAAGAAAACTATGCAAAGATAGGAAAGCATACATAAAGAACAAACAATTCTTCACAGCTGGTAACAATGCTGAAATGAAATGCTTGCCATTAGAATACAGAAATGTTATTCCCACCTCTTTGGACAGCTTGTGATGACTGTGTTAGAACTTTGATATCCAAAGCATTGTTGATATTCTCATCTAATGCTGAACAATAACCATCCACTACACTGGTAATGACACCTTTTAGAGCTCCCAGGTTGTAGAACACTTGAAGTGCTGTTCCGACTTGTGTTGGATTCTAAAAAAGGAAGTAAAACGAGTATGTTAGTTTACCGAAAGTGTTTTATTTAGCATAAGAGAATCAAAATCTCGGTTCGCCTTGCATCTCCGTGTACAATCATTGTAAAGAAATCTTGCTGCACAATTTAAATTCTTCATTTGAAGTCTCGATAAATGGATTAAATACATTCATATTATATCATAAAGAGTATAACTGAAGAGCCTTCTCTAGACACAATAGCGTAAGGACTCTTTACTATATCTGTTTGGAAAGTCCAATAAGCTTTGCAACCTAAGCAGTCTATTATAACTTTTACACAACTCTCACCAGACATTCAGATGGAAGATCTACATTGAATCCTAAAAAAGGGAATTTGGGGTAAAAGTTGTGTGAATCTCATGTAAAGACAATGCATAGATTTATAAGTGTTATTTGTGCACCATGATTTTGATTTGTTCAAATTCTAATTTCATATAAATAAATAAAAATATAAAAAATTGCATTTTTGCATTTATTGAACTTCAAGAAATGGATTTTATGGTATGTACAAAAATCCAATTCTCTTTTTCATTTATTGATGTCCACAGGGTTCACAGTTGGACAATTAGGATGCCCAAAACCATTCTAAATATGGTGTGGGCAACAGCAATAAAACACTAACAGGCCCATAACAACAACAAAACTTAGCGTTGCCTGCTGCTCAAATACCCACCTAAGGGATCTTACACACAAAGCTGGCATCAGATTAGGCTTGAACATCTACCTGGTAAAGAGAATACAGTATAAACAAAATACCAGGTGGTGGACTGGGAGGCAGTAGCCTAATGCTGAAAAAAGCAATAAGCACTTACAGATCTGTTAGAGCAGGGGTCTGAAAGTACCGGCCAGCAAACCGGTACCATGTGGCACGCAGCCGGCTGTTAAGTCTGGCACGCAGTCACAGACCGCGTACCTGACTTGTGGGAGTAGCTACACGCATAGCTGCTCCGGGCAGTGCCGCCACTAAGTTCCTTTTGGCTGGTGCTCTGACAGCCTTCACTGATCACCGGCCGAAAGGGGTTGTATTTCTCTGTGCGTGTGTGTATTAGGCCCCGTTCACACCTGTAAACTTAGGGGTGATTAGGGTTTGTTATCCTGCAACAGGAATCCCTAATCTCCCATTTACATGCAGCAGCTGTCACCCATTCAAGTTAATGATCAGGTGACAGCCACTGCATGTAAACGCCGGAACACTGCATGTAATAATGCGTGATGCAAGAACTGGGCAAGGCGGCCACGGGTGGACGTGCATGCTGAGAGCTAACCCGGGAGAGGGGAAGTCAGCGCGATGATGCAGCGATAAGAGGGAGGATGACGAGTCCTGATTGATTGAGAGAGGGCTTGCGGCACGGGACTCGAAGCTCAGAGAATTCTAAGGAGCAGAGCTGAATGGCTCCTAGACAAACGGCCTGTCTACAGCAGCAGCTGAGAGGTAAGTAGAGTGGGAGTAAGAGACGATGTGGAGGAGAAATAAGCGGCTTGATAAACTGCTTGGACAGAATATACCATTTTCGCTGCATAGATGGACCGCAATACAAAGAAGGGTACCTAAACCCCTAATGACAGACCACCAGCAGAGAGAGTGCGGAATATAGGAGGCTTTTTTATCTTTCAGAGTATTTTATTAATTTTCCAAAGTACAATAAAACAATGAAATAGCACATGATGCACAATCAGTATAACATACAATTGCATTACAGTTTCTTCCACATTAGCATAATCAAGTAGTAGGAGGGGATCACTAGAGGCCATACACACAATATATAATAGTTCTGTACAACAGAACATATCTATCCACCTATTCTTGCCAATTTATCCCCCATCACTAAAATAAAAAATCAGAACAGTCTGAGAGGAATATCTGGCCTAGGGATCCGCCTATGTCTGAAGCAAACATTTGTTATGATCTCCTCCATATCTATATCAATAGAAGACTGTCCAGCATCTAGGAGGCTTTTTTGTAAAAAATGTGGTTAAGTCTGGATCTAATATGGCCACGAAAAGGAAGCAGATGGCAAATGATGGAAATTACATACGATACGATTACATGCGGTTGGAAAAAAATCACTCTCCCTAGATCCATGTGTGCGGGGATAGCGATTGATAAATAACCACATGTAATCATATCACATACGGTAACATGCGCTGTGCCGGCGTTTACATGCAGTGGCTGTCACTTGATCATTAACTTGAATGGGTGACAGCTGCTGCATGTAAACGGCAGATTCCTGCTGCAGGAAATTGCAAGTTCCTGATGCAGGAAACCCTAATCGCACCTAAACTTACAGGTGTGAATGGAGTCTTATAGTGTGCGTGTATTAGTGTGTGTATTTCTGGATATGGGTGTATTAGTGTGTGCATATTTCTATGTGTGGGGGTGTATTTGTCTGTGTGTGTATTACTGTGTGTGAGTGAATATGCGAGTCTGTTGGTCCTCTATGATAAAATTAAGACCTGCGGGGAAAAAAAAACACACACATATTGACATTGCACACATATACATACTAATATGACACACAGAGACATTAACACACATACCGACATCACTCACCGAAATCCTAACAATACACACACAACATACTGACATTGCATACAAAGAAACCATCACAAACACATATACTGACATTATAAACACACACAGACATTAACACTGGTACGGTATATAGAAGTATGAAATAATTAAATTTGAAGTATGCAATTTTATGAAATTCAGCAAGCAGCCCCCATGGGAGAAGAGAATGTGTCCAATGGCCCCCAAGTAAATTGAGGTTGAGAACTTTATCCTTAAAATTAAACTCTAGGCAAAACAGAAATAAAAATAAAAATTAAATCTCCTTCTCCAACACCTTAAAAACATGACAAAATACATACACATACACTGTTTCTTTACCAAGATAATCCAAGTTTTATTCCCTGTAACTTCATCACAGAGCTCCCTTCCATCTGCACTAGCACGTGGGAGGAGTCAAAGGGGTTCCCTATGTGTCTTTCTATACACAGTAAGTACTTCCTGCTAGATTCAAAATACAACTGTGGGCAGCCCAGTCAATGTTCTCCAATCTTGTGCACTGAGAAAACACAAAACAAACTCTTACAACAACATAAGTCCAGCTGCCACTTTTCCCTCTGGAAAACGATGTCCCTGTCCGTGCTGCAGTCTGGCCAAAAACAAAAGTGTTTTTCAGCCTGCTCCTGTGCTCAGAAAAGTAACTGCAATGTTCAGATGTGGCAGAGAAAAGCAGACTTTGTCTTCTGTTAGATTGCTACTGTGCTTCCCTGACAGAGTGTGCAGCATCTGTAGCTTGCTGTACTCAAAATAAGACACTGACAGCTCTGCCCACAGAGGGCTTGTCCAGAGATTAACTTGAGAGCCCAGTGAAGCAGAGGGCTCTCTGAGGCCTAGTTCACACCGAGCACGTTCCAGGAGCAGAGCAGTTACAGAACGGATCAAAACTGCGTCCAATGTATTCCAATGGTATTTTGGGCTCTAGTTCACACCGCAGCGTTCAGTTCCAGAGCATGTAAAAAAAACTGTAGCAATCCCTATTTTACCTGCTCCGGAACGCATCAAAAACGCATGCAAACGCCCTGCAACGCACTAAAAGCCCATTTTAAAATAACTTTTTTTTAACCAAAAACGGCACGGAACGCATCAAAAACGTGGCACAATCCACTGCACTGCGTGTGCAGAAGCTAATGCAGATCTGGTCTGCATTTGGTGTGAACAAGCCCTGAAGCTAGCCATTCAATGCAAGCGCTAGCTTAGATTGAACGGCTAACTTCAGAGAGCCCTCTCCTTCACTTGGCTCTCTGAAGTGAATCAGATGTGTCACCTGCAAGTAGGAGAAGTAGTGCAAGATGTTACCTCATGCTGAATTGGCAGGAACAGGAGCACAGGGTGCTTGTGCACAACATTCCCCTATCTAGGTGCCTCATCGCCCAGTTATCCAGCATTAACTCTTTGCACATAAAACAAGAGAAAATTGGGATTATAAAAGGTCCCCTATGGTCCAAATAGTCAGGTAACTATTTGGACCATTGAGACATCAGACAGGTAAGACCCACAATGCTGAAGCCAGTGTCCAGATTAGTCCCACAATAGAGTAGTCCAGCAGGATATGGGTACGGCCTCAAAAACTATTGCTGAGGATTCTCCGATCTGGAAAGCTGCATATACAGATATGCTCAAGCAGATTTTAGGGAAATGTTGATTGAAAAAGGAAAAATGGCTAGTAAAAATGGTTAAGCTTTTGTCCATCTACTAGCAAAAAAAAGAAAAATTAAAGCATGCTGGGAGTGGGAGGGGTTATACCAGCTGGTGACTGATTTTTGTTTATCAGTGCCCAAATCCTTTGGTAGGTGGTAGTATAACTCAATTGTCTCTGAAACCTTTGTCCCTCAATGACCAAAACAAAAACTAAGTTTACCAATTTATACATTTAAAAAAAAGTATTTTCTAAAGTCATGTTGTTGGTTTGCTTAATATTTAAAATAGAGTGTGAAGGGTTAAAACTCTTTTCAGGTTTGTATGGATGTCTGAGTCCCCAATGGGAGGATTCACCCTCCCAATGTGACTTCTGACAATGGTCACCAGAACAGAAAGTCATGGGAAATCAAAAATGTACAGCTGTCATTAGAACAGCAATGGAGGAGAACTCTTCCAAGATTTCATAATCACTTCCTTTTGTGTTTTCAGGACAGCCAGTGAAGGGAAATGAGACATAAACAGCAGAAAAACAAACAAAACTGTTCTGTAATCACTGCAAATTTTGTAAACATTTTTGTTATATACTTTACAACTGATCTACAGGCAAACAAATGAATCTATTCATGTCTGAGATTTATACAGCCCTACTAGCAGAACTGGCCAGGAGATCTAACTTTTTTCTTTTGCAGTTAAATTAATACAAATTATTATTGTCCCTGCTCCCAGTCTGTGACGAAAGAACGTGTGAGGAGCAACAAATTGAGCTGATTCA